CCTGAGAGACAACCCAGGAGCTACTCTCAACGCCCAACTTTACAGCCAAACCAACCTGCAGAGCAGGAGACACACAGAAAAATGTCAGCAACAGACCACACAAGTGAAACAACACCAATTCCACCTCAAAACCATGTCCCTCAGCACCTCGTCCACCCGTCTGTTAAATCCCACCAGGGAAGGTGACTCCACCACCTCCCTGGGCAGCCTGTTCCAATGCTTCACTGCCCTTTGGGTGAAGAAATTCTTCCTCAGATCCAACCTAAACCTCCTCGGCCACAGCCAGTGACCAGGAGCGAACAGACATGGCATGGTAGGGCAGGGTGTCAGCACCCCACCAGCTCATGAGGTGAGTTCAATGAATGATTATCACCCTTTTCAGAAGGAGCTTTGCCATCGTTATCTACCCAGGAGCAAGCCAAGTCCTCTGCACTTGCCAGAATGGATCTGGCAACCCATACCGAGCTCCCACAAAAACACGCAGACATCCAGGGTCTTTCACTAGGGACATGGCAGCATGAAGAGCGTGAAGGTGAGACCAAGGAGATGATCTGCTCAGCCTGGTGGCAGAGCTAGAGGAGGAAGGAGAAAGGTAAAGGAACATCATGGGGTATGAGAAAGAGACAGGCTGGTGGAATCAAGCTCTGCCCTCCAGCAGCAGCCACCAGAAAGAAAACCGAGATCAAGGAGATCCTGTATCCTCCCCATGCCAGGCAGAAGGAGGGAATGGAAGCAAGTCCGTGCTTGGGGCAGCAGGTGAATCCCCATCCTGACTTCCCAGGTGTCTCTGGATGACAGGTATGAGGCTTTCAATGTGGAAGGCCAGTCAATGGATGATGGTCCATCTACACCAGACGTGTTGCCATGGTCAGGAAGGCCTATCCCCTGTATCAAAACCACCTCCATAAGGAAGAAAAGATGGGTTATAGTTGTAGGTGACTTCCTTCTGAGAAGAGAGAGTCTAATGTGCCAGACAGACCCTCAGGGAAGGGCCCAGGTTAAGGACATCACTAGGAAAATTCCTAGCTTGGTACAGCCCTTATCCCCATTACTGCTCTTCCATGTGGGTGGCGATGAAGCTGCAACAGATAGTCCAAGGGCATCAAAAAATACTTTAGGGCCTTGGGATGGCCGGTGAGGGAATCTGGAACACAGGGTTTTTTTTCTTCTGTCCTTCCAGTGACACTGGAAGAAACAGACGGTCCCAGTCTATTAATATAAGACTCTGTGGCTGGTGTTAACACCACAATTTTGGGGTTTTTTTGATAATGGGATGGCCTACCTGGAAACAGAGCTGCTGCGATGGGATTCACCTTTCTCAAAGGGGAAGAGGGTCTTTGCTCATAAGCTTGTGAGTCTCACTGACAAAGCTTTAAACTAGACTTGAAAGGGGAAGGGGATAATATCAGGCTTGCCCATGACAAGCTGTGGGATGACACACCAAGGTTAGAGGACCCTGAGCCTGTTGCTCTGAGATGTACTGGGTACACTGGAGAAGTCTTACATAGATGAGCCAGGGGCTCCTGTGGTAATAGGAACCAAGAGGGAAACACTGGTGAAATACCTCAGAGGAATTAAGGTGTGTTCCTCTGAGAACATGACACAGCCAACAGCCCAGCTGAGGTGCCTCTACACCAATACACACAGCACGGGCAACACGCAGGAGTTGGAAGCCACCATGATGTTAGAAAACTATGACCTAGTTGCCATTACTGAAACTTGGTGGGATGAATCCCATGCCTGGAATGCAGCTCTCGATGGCTACAGGCTGTTCAGAAGGGACAAGCGAGGAAGGACGGGTGGAAGGGTTGCCCTCTAACATCAAGAAATGGATACAGTGTGAAGAGCTGTCTCTGAAGAACAGCCATGAGCAGGGTGAAAGCTCATGGGTAAGAATTAGAGACCAAGGCAACAAAGAAAGTCTGAGGAAGTTGGGGTTGTTCGGCCTGGAGAAGGCTCCAGGGAGACCTTACCATGGCCTTGCAATACTTAAAGGGGATCTATAAGAAAGATGGGGACAAACTTTTTAGCAGGGCCTGCTGTGATAAGACAAGGGGTGATGGTTTTAAACTAAAAGAGGGAAGGATTCAGACTAGATACAAGGAAGACATTTTTTACACTGAGGGTGGTGAAACCTTGGCCCAGGTTGCCCAGAATGGTGGTAAAAGCCCCATCCGTGGAAACATTCAAGGTCAGGTTGGACGAGGCTCTTAGCAACCTGATCTAGTTGAAGATGTCCCTGCTCACTGCAGGGAGGTTGGACTAGATGGCCTAGAAAGGTCCCTTCCCACCCAAACCAGTCTGGGATTCTATAACCCCAACTCCCCCCACCACTTTGTGGTGCATGTGCCTGACCCACATCGGTCCAACCGCATTATCCTGTGTGGGGTTTGACCTGCAGGATAGAGCGGAGCTGGGACGCTCTCTGATGTCACCATCTCTCCTGTGCAAGGCTGTGGGAGCTGGGCAGAGGCCAGAGCTGACTGTTCAGAGCACATCTGGGATGGCACAGGCCAAGCCAAGCAGCCAGCTCAGAGCTGCTCCACGGGGCGTGGATAAACTTGGGAAACCACAGCTCAGCCATCAGCAACGCTGCCAGGGTCAGAGCAGATGGCGTGGAGGGGCTGCCACCAGCATCCCCCAGCACAGCATGCTGCCAACAGGGATCTGTTACCACCTTGGGATGCTCCTCATTCCCACAGCCTCCCCAGCTCCACACACAGGACCCCAGAGGGAGGCTTGATGGGCTGTGTACTTCGAAGCAGCACAGTTGTGACTGGGTTGGACTGGTTTGATTTTGGGTGTGCTAGGAGAAAGGCTCAGGTGACATCCCTTATTCCTCTAACAAAGCTTTTCCATCAGCAGCAGGAAGAGCAAGAGCTCCAGCCTACACTAGTGTAAACCCTGGAGATTTTGAGTAAAAAAAAAAAACAAACAGAACAGGTTAAAAACCTCAAATCTGCTGGAGGCAAGGAGATCATGAGCTCTCCAGGGAGCGAGCACACACACACCTGGTGAGGGGTGGCCTTTGCCATCTCCCTCAAACACGGGCCCCTCCAGGGGTCATGGCCCAGGAGAAACCATGCAGGCAGCCACTTCTACACAAGCAGGCTTCAAAGCTCAGCCTTTCCCTGCCAGCCCTTGCTCCACAAGGTCAGCTTAGCACATGTGTCTCCTGTGGAGCTCTCAGGAGAGCAGCTCACCCACCGAGAAGCCAGGACTGGAGAGGAAAAGATGACCACGCAGGATGCCTGCAAACTAGCCTAATGCCCATCTTTAAAAGCTGTATGAAACAACCCTCCCTCAGCGTCTGCAACCTTGGGAGAGGTGCTGGGAGAGCTACTGCATGGAGCAGCCGTCGGTAGGCAGGAGGTCGTACACGTAGATGGCCACCGACTTGGACAGGTAGGTCATAGTGCCAAAGCGACCGCTCGGTGCACTGTCATACAGCAAGCTGCAGATGCCCGTGGTGGGATCCTTCTCCAGCATGTGGTCGTCAGCACCCAGGGCTTTCTGGATTTTTGGAGAAGGAAGGAGAAAGGCAGCATTAGGAATAAGGGCAACCCCAACTCATCAGCTTCCACCCCAAGCATCCTCCGTTGCACTCATCAGTTGCGAGCAGCAGGAGGAGGACACTACGTTTTTGCTGTGCCTCATGAACACAATGGGGACGACAGGCAGGCCCCTCCAGGTGGGTGACCCCTGTGTAGCTGTGGGTAACACAACCAGCAGCCCTCAGCGAGGCCTGGCCCCTACCTGCTCCTCATAGAAGAGGTCATTGGCTGTCTGCAAGATCTTTTCCACAGCTATTATGCTGCCGATGGTGTGCACCTCCATGTCCACCAGCATGGTGAGCACCAAGATAGCCTCCACCAGCAACTGCCTGTACTCTGGCTGGGGCACACGGTTCAGTACCGACTCCACGTGCACAGCAAACTTCATTTCCCCTGGGGTCATCTGTGAGGAGAGGGAAATAAATGCACCTAGAGCACCGTATCACCAGTACAAGTCCTGAGCCCAGGGCAATCCAGCACCCAACACCAACCCACCTGCTCTGTTTCCCCTTCAACATAAACCACCTACCTCTCTGGTTGTTGAAGAGGGGAGAACAAAGCCCTCCACAGAGAGACCATGGCACTGCAGAACAAGAAGGAGAGACCATGGTTATGGCCTAGAGAAGCACAGTGCTGACACACAGGTCCAGCCCACCAACTTGTTCCCACTTGAGCATTGCTTCGTGCTGCCCCCACACTCCAGCTCCATCTCCCGAGTCTTTGCACAGCATCACTCCTTTCCCAGCAGTTCAGCATCAGCTGGAACCTTCTCACACAGAGCTTTGCTCCCTGGCTTCCCATGCTGAGGATGAGCTGTGCCCAGAGCTGCTTCAGCTGTGGTTCCAGCCCTGCCTGGCTAAGGAACAAAGCACCTGAGCAGACCTTAGACCCCTTCTGCAAGAGTCAGCACTGTATGAGGTAGGTCATGCATGCTTACAAGGCAGCTCCAGCTCTTCTCCAGGTTTCCAGGGCCAGCTGTAGGCCTTGTCCCTGAAGCACATATCTACACAACACTGGGGACCAGCCCTGGCTGCTTAAATTCCCCTTGCAAGGCTGGTGCCTGAGACCAGAGGCTCACATGCATGGAGAGGAACCAGCCAGACATCCAGCTCACCTTCTGCAGGACCTTCCAGACCTTCTGGTAGAAGCCTACAGGGACACGGTTGAGGGCTCCATCCAGCCGCCGTCTCCGCTGCCACTGGCCTTGGCGACTGTCCTTACTGCCCTGCTCTTCCAGCATGCTTGAAAAGGAGCCTTTGCCCAGCAGCTCTGAGTGCCCAGTGGACTGGGCAGAAAAAACAAGGACAGAGACTGCTGCAAAGTTAAATACCTCACAAGGACACAGCCCGCTGCTGCCCAAGGGTTTGTACTCACCAGCCTGGCTCCCAAGGCAAAGCTTCCACCCCCTGACCCCAGCAAAGCCCACCCTGGTGACTCCCTGAAGCATCCCCCTGGAGCACAGCCACAAACAGGACAAACCCCATGAGTGCAAGTCAACAAACACAGGTTACCAGAGAGGACTTCAGGTCAGCATCCTCGGTCTGCAGACTGAGGGGCTGGAGGAGAAAGGGAGAGACAAAAATCAGTCTGTGCTGGAGCAGAGCAGCCATCACAGTGAGCAGAGCAGGAGCAGCACGGACCAAGCTCAGGTCATGGGGCAGTTATCCCAGGGGCTGTGGTTAGCTGGAGATTGATGGGTAGGTAGGTAGTTTGGAAAGTCTCACGTTAGGATAAGAGGGGAAGGACTGTGCCAGGATACAGAGTGGCTGCGGGGCTCCCATGCACCGGTACCAGCTGGAACACAGGGGCAGAGCTGCTGCTGCTGCTCTGTTGGCTGCTGGCACAGGCAGGGATTTAGTCTCAGGTAGATTGGAGGACCAGCAGCACGGTCACTGCCCATGGATGATCCTCTCCACCACAGTTCCTCTGCGATGCCAGGTGTCACACTGCAGCAGGTTGCTCACAAACCTGCTGCATCAGCCTGGTCCCTGTAGGCCCTGTCTCTTAGAGCTCAGGATTCCTCCTGGACACACACCAGGCACCAGAGGAGGTCCTCGGCATTTGTAGCTGGGCCTCTACCACCAGCTGGGGAAGCAGGATCCAGTGATCATCAGTGAACTGCCCAGCAGGACCATTCTGTGATCCTTGACCACTGCTGGTCATGGTACAGGAAACATCATGCCATCCCTCTCAGCAAGTTTTTGTGGGTATAATGAGATTTATTTGTCCACAGCAGTTAATGGAGCACAGCTCCCAGCTGGTTGTAATGCCAATACACCCACAACTTAGAGAAGCCTTCTTCTTCACTCAAAGGGGAGCTCCCCAAAGGCTTTGGGGCAGTGCCAACACTGGGCCCCCCACAACAGCACGTTAAGCCATGCTGACCTCTTCCCAGGGAGCCAACCTCCTTCACCCATCCCAAACAGAGCAACCCTGAGCCTGCCAAGAGGGGAAGCCAGCTCATTGCTGCAGCAGCAGCTTGCTCAGCGGGTTTGTTTAGGAAAGCTCGTTAACTTCATGCATGCTGGGAAGCTGCCCTGGTGTGTGGCGTGAGGGGTAAAAGCTGAAGCTGCAGAAGGACCAGGGTGGCTTCACCTTACTCCCAGTCAGAGACTGCCTACGTTTATCCAATTGCTGCAAGAGAAGAAGGAAATGAAGTTTCTGCTGCTGGAAGAGACCCACCAGACAGCAGCCATGCCTGGGATACAGCGTGGTCCTCCCCACCCCTGCACCTTCTCAAGCACCCCTGTGCTGCCCCCTCACTGCACTGCCAGAGTAATCTCCACCTCCTCTAACAGATTTACCCCAATTCTTCCCCTAGGGCAGGACTAGAACCAGAAGGAGCTCCTGGAAGCAGCTGTAAGCTCTCCAAGGCCCAGGAGTGAGCACCTTCCTGCTCTCCCATCAATCCTGCCTGTCCTGTCACTGTCTGTCACCCACAAAACCTGGCAGGAGCAGCCTGCACCAACCTGCCCTCACCTGTTTGATCTCACTTTTTAGCCTGACGATGCCAGCACGCTCAGGCTTGGTGGCCCCAACAGCCCCCAGCTCACAGATGGAGATAGCAGTGGTGAGCGACGAGTCGACCGATCGCACTGGAGGGAAAGAGAGGTCTGGAGTGGGTCCTACAGCTCAGGGCACAGATATCTCTCATGGCTACTGGGGTGTGCTACCGCTGCACACCCTTGCCCTCTATCCCAACCACCACCAGAGTGCCATGAGCACAGCACAGAACTGCTTCAATTCAGGTCTGACCAGGTCAGGTTGAACTAAGCAAAGCCACAGTAGCCAGAGGACTCAGGCTCGATCCCTGGAATTGGCCCAGCACCACCCTGAGCTTCTTGCTGGACCACTGAAGTGCAGAAGCAGCTGTGCTGAACATGCAGGAGGACAGGGACATCCTCCACAGGTGGGAACACCTGGAGCTGACCACGCTCGACACCAGGATCCAGCTTTACCCAGAGATGCTCTCACAACCCTGCTGAGAGACTCACCGCTCTTTTCTACCCCAAACTCCTTGCCAGAGAGGATATGGTAGAGGAGGCTCTTCATGTCCGATGGGCTGAGATTCATCAGGTTCTCGGTGGCTTCTCCAGCTGCAGAGAACAGTGTTGGGATGTTGTACCCCGCTTCACAGCCCTCCTGGGGCATTTCTACCCTGCACCCCATTCTGTTAGCAGGGGAAGCACTGGTACAGCTCATCCTCCAAGGACATACCCTAACTCCAGGTTTCCTACAAGGATTTTTCCCCATGCCAGTCCAACATGTGCCTGAAGAGACACTGCAGCGAAATCACCTGCCTGTGCTGCCCGAGAACAGCCTCAGCTGCAGAACCTGGCACTCATCCTGGCACCGAGCTGCCCATTTTTAACAGCACCCTGGCTAACAGGGCCCCAGCACCACAGCACCCACCCCAGCCAAGGTGCTGTCCCCATTGCACATACCTGAGCAGCGCAGGGAGTGCGCCAGCTCCGTTGCCATCACCTGGATGATGAGCCCAATGCGGATGCGGAACATCTCAACGAAGAGCGCTGGCTGCGTGCGTATGTACATGGCCAAATACACCATGATCTCCTGGAGGGGAAGAGGTAGATCACCCCACTGCTGCTCACCAAGGCAGACACCCAGCTGTGTGGTCACCCACCACCCTAGCCCCTTCACCTGGGTGAGTATGGACACACTGAGGTTCTTCTCACTGGCTTCATCAATGAGGCGAACGAGCTTCTCATAGGGGATGGGGCTGGGGAGGGATCAAACAGCAGAGCAGGTAAGAGGCAGCAGAGCAAGCTCTGCATCCCTCCTGGTCTGTAAAGCCCAGAGAGGAGAGATACAGGCTGGGGACAGCCACCCAGAGCTGCCCATGGACCCAGAGCAGCGGGCTCATGTCCAGCCCCGGCCCAGCATGCATGGGGAGGAAAGGTGCCACACTCACGCAGAGATAGTCTTCTCACGTGGCTCTGGGGGCAGCCCCACTGTCAAGTGCTTCTGGTGAGACAGGAGGTCAGTGCAGGCCTGGGGACAGAAAGAGTCACCCTGGGCATCATCAAAAGCTCAGAGTCTGGGGCCTCAGCACAAGGCAGAGTGAGACAGAACTGATGGAGCCACAGTTTGCTGCCTCCTCCCCAACAGACCTCAGTCTGCTAGAAGCTGGGCTGCATGGTTGTTACCTCATCCAGAGCTTCCACCTTCTTCTTGAGGATGCCAGAGATGTAACGGATCAGGGCCCACTGGCGCGTGTCCCCCACCCGCACGTACAGCTCGGTGAGGAGCTCCTTGACGGTGGGGCCAGGCTCGCTGTCAAGCCCCGTGTGCCACTCGGGTCCCCTGCAGCAAAGGAGATGCTGGGTTATAGGTTATAGGCAGCAACTTGCCCTGCAGCAGCTCCCCTCCCTGGCAGCCCCCAGAGTCTGTGGGTTGGGATATGTGGATGGCTGCTCCAGTTCTCTCTGCTCAGTGAGGCAGCAGGACTTGGAGCTCAACATACTTGAGGATGTGGAGCATGTAAAGGATGTCTGCTTGCTCCTGCAGCGTGGGGCAGATGCGCAGCTGGTCCACCAGTGCCTTGCAGTCCACGTTGCCATCCTGATCACGGGGCAGGTTCATCTCCGCATAGAGTGCGTGGCTCTGGGGGGAAGGGAAACCCATGCTCCTGGTTAGCACTGCCAGCACCAAGCACGGTCTGGTTATGGAGCCAAGGCCGTTCACTCAGGGATATTCCCCTTCACCAAACACAAAGCCTTCCCCATGCAGCCCCACGAGGACCCTCTGGCTCTGGCTGAAAGGATGGCACTGCTCAGCCAGTCCAGGAGGGACAGAGCTCACCTTGCCATCCATGTCATGCTGGTGGGGTGAACTCAGCAGCTTGACCGACTGCTGGGACGCCTGGAAGATCTTGCTGGGGACATACATCCCAACATCTAAAAGAAAGACAAGTCTGGTGCAGGTACTTCTCAACCCCAACCACCACTACTGTGCCCCAAACCACCTCACACCTGACACTCTGGTCCCCCAGCAACCCTTGCAGAGAGTCACCCATGGGAGAAGCAGCCCCTGACCACTTGGTTAGAGGAATGTCACAGGGAGCTGCCATCCCTTATCCTTCATCAGTTTCCATGAGGACTGCACCCACACCACCTCCAAGATACTCCATGGCCAGGACTAACGTGATGGACACAACGTGCCTCTGCCCAGGAAAAGGTTGGGTTGCTCTTCTGTCCATGGCACGCTTCCCTCGGGCCCTTAGCATTGCTCAGCTGGGAGAGCTCCCAAAACACCTCAACCTCACCCCCAGGATCAAGCAGAGGTGCTGAGGGTGCTGGAGTTACTCACTCTGGACATGAAGGTCCTTGGCCTTGGACGCCAGGGACATGAGGTCACGGGTGGTGTGGACAGCAGCACGGAAGCGGCTCAGCCCTCCCCGCTGGGCAGTGGGAGGGAGGTTTGACTGGGGAACTGTTCGCTGCAGCAGATGGTCCAAGTACTGAGCAACCTCGTCATACGTGTCCGCTGGAAGGGAAGGCAGAAGAGGGGGGTGTTCAGCTGCTTTGTGCCAGGGAACCCCCAGACCCTGGGGAGCTCCCCAGCCGTGACTCAGTAAGGGCAGAGCTTTGGTGGCTGCACAAAGCGACAACATGGGGCCAGTGCCAGCAGCCAGGGTCACAAAGCACAGCAGCTGCAGCACACACACTGTCCCTTGCACTACTCCACTGCTGGGACACCAGGAACTGGGGCTCTCTCCCAATTCAGGTCCCACTGGGATGTAGGATGGAGCTGCAGTGTGTCTGGTCCAAGCCTGCGCAAGGACAGCAGGGTCTGCTCAAACCCTGTGGTGAAACCCTGGAGCTCTATCCCTTTGGGGAAGAAGGGGAGGCAGAGCCCACTGAGGAGCACCCCAGCACAACGAGGGCCTCATCCAAGCAGTATTCCAGCACGGCAGGGTGGCTTTTACAAGTTATTTCTAATTAGAAATTACCAGTTATTTCTAATTAGGAGTTAGAGGAAGAGTTACAGCTCCTGCCTTGCTCTTTGCCCAGACTCCAGCAGCTCCCAATCCCACGTCAGGAGTGCCAGAGCTGCCACTCACTGACTATGACAAGGAGGAGGGTGCTCAGCACCCAGGTCTCTGCTCAGCTGGGGGATGCCCCAGGCAGGGGAGATGCCCCATGCCAAGGCAATGCAATACAACACAGAGCTCTTGATGCACTTCCAAGCAGTGGTTCAGGGCAAAACCTCACTGCTCTCCAGCTGGCAGACAAGCTCTGTGGTGTCTGCCCCAGACATGAGCTGCAGCCTGTGTCTGCAGCCAGCAGCACAGCATCCCCCTTCCATGCCTGGTGGGAATGCCTTGTGCCAGCGCCTGAAGGCTCAGCTGAAGCAGATCCCCCCAGACATTAGGCTTGAGAACATTATCCTGCCCGCCTGCAGCATCTGACCACAGGAAAAACTTAAAATTGAGCATCTTCCAGGCAAGCCCTGTCTCCCAGTGGGGCTGGGGGGAAGCAGACACCTTGGAGAAGCTCAGGTGCAGCAGGCAAAGCGAGAGAAGGGCAAGAGAAATAAATATTCAGAGTCCCAGCAGTGCAAACATTGGCTACAGGAGCAGCAGAGGCAGAGCAGACTGATGGGAAGGCTGGGAAGATGACCAACGTTAGGTCAAGCAGGAGGAGGACATCCCCAGGCCTGCTTGCAAAGTGGAGCAGCAAAACTTGTACCCCACCGTGGTCTCAGGATAAGGTGGGTCCATCAATGCTGTGATGGACCAAGGTCATCTCAGGCACCTTATCCAGAGCAGCAAGGTCTCAATGTGGCACTCACTGGAGCACCTGGGCTCAGGGAGGGTCAAAGGCTTCAGGAAAACACTCGAGAGATTGCCTGGGGACATGGGAGGTCTTCCCCACCATCTCAGGCACTGTACCATCACCTTCTGCACCACCACTTGTGCACCAAAGATCCTCAGCCAAATCTCCTGAGCGGAGGCAGGTTCATAGAATCATAGAATGGTTTGGGTTGGAAGGGACCTTAAAGATCATCCAGTTCCAACCCTGAGCCTTTGTCTCTTCCCCATGCAACAGCCTATGAAGATTGGATCAGCTTGTTCCAGAGCATCCTCCGTGCTCTCCACAGCCACGTCCACCAGCCCCAGCCTTGTCTCTAAAACAGCTGCATCAATTCACCCCAGTCCCACCCCACTGGTGTCACTACAAGTGTCACCCAGACAAGGTTAATTGATGGAGGGTCAGATGGGAACAGAAACATGGTGAAAACCCAAGTGTATGAAGAACACAGTGGCAAAGGCTGGCAGGGAAGTTCAGTGTTATGGGTTCATGGGTGAGTTTGGCATTTGCTGTGCCACAGCAGTGACTGGCCTGTCCCCCCCTTACCATCCTCTGCTACCTGCAAGCCATGCAGCCGCTCCTCGGGGTCTAGCTCCTCAAAGCTGCCAATGCTGAGCTCGTAATTCTTGGTAAAGACCTTACCCTCTGGCCCAGGGTCCATAAAGCTGAGATGTGTTCGGCATGACGTTGTCAGGAACTCCGACAACTTACCCGTCTGGATCCTGGGCAAGAGGAGGGGAGGTCACACAGAGAGGAAGGGGGAGGCAACACCCTTGGCTTTGCCTCCTGGATCCAGGGTAGGCACTTCAGCAGGGAGAGACACACTCGCCCAGGAGCATACACTTGCCCCAGTGCCTGTAACTCCTCCAGCCACAGCTGGGCAAGGAAGGACTATCCAAAAATCTATTAGAGGGACCCTGCAGCACCATGGGTTTAATGGCATGAAGAGATATATCCTCTCTGGCATCTCCTCTGTTGGTACAGTAGCCCCATGGTGCACTCACAGCCTAGCACACCCCAATGGATCCTCCACAGCTTGTTCCCCAACAGCCGATGCTCTGGCTCAGCAAGTACCCTCATAACCAGGCTCCTGGAGGCCACCAGCCCTCTCCCCACCTGTACCCCAAGAAGCTGCACTCACCTTGCCCCACCGAAATACCCGTCCTGCAGCTTCCGCAGCGTCGCCAGAACCGTGGGGTGCACGCTGCTGCCGGTTTCATCTGTTGGGGACAGATAGGCACAGGCAGTCAGGCTTTCCTGCTCAAACAGGCTTCCAGAAGGTAACACAGGGCCAGGTGGGTATTCAGACACACAAAGCACCATGGCATCAGCCAGACCCTGACTCTGGCTGCCCAGCCAGGCTGTGGTACCAAAAGCACCACCCAAAAATAGAAATTCGGGACTGTCCAGGCTGGATTCCAGCAAAACCAGCCCAAGACACAATCCAGGCTCCTGGGATTTCACCTCAGGCTGAAGCTGACAGTACCAGACAGCAGCACCCTGCTCTGTCCCTGGCTTCCACATGAAGCAGCAGAGCAGAAGACACCACACCAAAGGGCATGCTCAAGACACTAAGGGGATTTCAAGTACACAAGGAGAGACAGAGGCCTGAAAGCAGAACAGAGTCCCTGCCCTGCACCAGGCTCATGGGGAAGCTGTGAGCTGCTCCAAGAGAAGCCAGTTTTGCTCTGCAGCTTTGCCTGGCTCTCTGCTCCTTCTGGTTTGCTGTCTTCCCCTCCCTGTTGTCTAGGAAAGCCTTTAGCAGGTGGTTAGTTTTGGGGCAGGAAAAGCCCCAAGAACACTTTTACAGCGGGATTTTTGGGGGGTTTTTTTTTGGTCTTGCTCCCAAAAGCAGCCTCACTGCTTGGAGACTGAGTACCTCCATGCCAGCAAGCATCTCTTGAGCTGCAGGCACCAGTGCTTGGCTGGCAGCCCTGCTAGCTGCCAGGAGAGCTGCCAACTCAGCAGGGCTCCTTTGAGTGGTAAACTCTTTACAGGACGTTACTGGCTGTTCCCAGCCCCACCGTGTCCCCCTTACTAAGATGGTCCCACATCTGCCCATCCCCTTCCTCCCACAGAGGCCGATTCCCAGGGCTGCTCTAGCCAAATGCCTTTCCAAGGATGGAGGATTGATACCAAGCATGGTGTGGGAGACAGGGAAGGTGATGGTCGGCCGCCCAGTCATCCTCCAACGGCTGCAGAGGTACGAGAGGTCCGTCCTAAGCATCTCCACAATCATCTTGTTGTCGAGAGCCAGGTAGAACTGCTGCTGGTCTATGAACTGTAAGGACAGCAGGAGATGTGAGTGGCCCTTCCTGCAGCCACCAGGTCCCTTTGGTGCCACCCACATCTCCCCACAGGTGCTCAGCCAGGTCAGCCACACAGTACACCCAGGGGAGATGCTCCTTTGCACCAACAGTTCATCCCACCTGGTACACACCAGTACAGTCCAGCAAGGGACCCCCAGGGCACCTACTTGGCCACCGACAACTATAAGGAGGTAACACTACAGCTCAGCAGCATCACCCAGGCCCCTGTCCCAAGCAAATACACACTTCCCACAGCACGAGGCCTGCAACCCTGCTTGTCCCCGCACCACGCTGGACAGAGGAATCCCTGTCCTGCCATCACCCTCCTCCTGGTGTTCTTGTCAGGGTGAGCAAAGAGATTTTCACCCAACACTGATTATTAGAAAGCTGAAACCATCTCCCCCAGCATGCACACAGCCAGGACCACCAAATCTGCTGCTTCACACCATGGAGCTGGGGCTGCTCCATCCTCCCAGCCTGTTCAGAGGGTGTTGGGCCACCCCTGAGAATAACTCAAGCACTCAGCCAGTGGAGAAACCTCCCACCCAGTTCCAGATCACGACAGGTGGGAATGAGCCCATGCAATACCACACACCTGGGGGGTAAAGGTAAAGATGTTCTTCCTGATTTTGTAGAGCTTGGAGGTCCCAAGGACGCCCATGTGCCGGTAGGGGCGTCCCGTCAGGCACATCTGCTTGTTGCGACCTAGAGGGGGGCAGGAGAAGGAGATTTTAGTGCAAAGCCTCCTTGTGAAAGGGGAGGCAGCAGCAGAGACAGGCCCCTGCGCTACCAGCCAGCATGAAAAGGTTGTTTGGCTTTGGGGTAGCCCATGTCAAGCTGGCACAACTCTTAAAGGACAGTGACACGTTGCCCCTAGGCCCTCTTGTTGAAACAGGGACATACAGCCTGTCCTGACCTCTGCAACACACCACACCTCTGGGTCTTTGGGGATGTCAGAAGCTGGGGCAGGGCCAGGGGTTCCCCCTGCACACAGCTGGCCACCCAAAGCTGACAGCTATATCAGCATTCCCATTGCTCCTGGATTATTCCCAGAGCTCAGGATGGTGCAGCAGCAGCATCTCTCCTTGGTCATGTCAGCCCTGGCAGCTGCCAGGCTGCTCCCCTGCCTGCTTTGACCATGTCACACTTGGCCTTTTGGTGGCTTAAATTAGCCAGCACACACAGCCTGTGGTGGATCGAGTTTCTCCTTCGGCCCAGGCTGGGTTTCCAGCTCCTGCACAACAAGCTCCATGCCCAAGGGGTTGCTGCATCAGGGAATGAGTGTGCAGAGCTCTGGAGCACAATTTCCCCTCACACTCAGCCCTGCCAACTTTCCAACAGCAGTTGTCCCACCTGAGCTACAGGCTCTCTCAGCCAGGGGAGCCCTTTCTGGGGTCTGGCTTGTCTCCCTCATCAAGATCTGGGTAGAGGAGAAGTTGGCTCCTGCCCACACCAGGTCCATCCTATATGGATCAGAGCCTCTGCCTGTCCTGAGGGCAACTGTGAAACTGCCATGACAAAGCTTTATCCCTTTCAGAATCACCCTGCCTGTCACCCCAGTTCCCCTTGTGCAGGAGAAGCTTTACCAGGCTCAGGAATGGGTGGCAGAGCCCTCATCAGCCAGGCAGAGAGCAGCAGGGCACCTATGAGCAGGAGTGCCAGACCCATCTGCACCCCCTTTGCTGCAGGGTCAGGGAGCCCAGCTCACCCAGTCGGGCGTAGATGTGGCTGAGGATGCGAGCAGGCTGCACTCTGATAGGGTAAACTTCTGCCACAGTCTCCACATCAATGTCCTCCTTCTTCAGGATGGCCTTGATCCCCTCGGTCTCTGCCAGGATGCACACTAGGGAGAGAGGACAGGCTCAGTCAGGCAGAGGCACAAGGGTGTGACAAGCATCACCCCTGGGCTTTGTGGACACATAGAAGGTGCCACATCACACAGAGGCAGCTGTTTTGGGTCCCTTTGGGAACCATTTCCCACTGCAGAGGTCTGCCTTGCTCCTCCTAACACTCTCTACACTGAAGCCTTCCCTGCTGAGTGGCAGGGAGATGGGACAGTTTTCAACCTCTCTGCAGAAGAGGCTGTAGCAGGTGACATTTCCCCAGAGCAACACAGTGTGGAGTGGAAGGACTTGCACCCCATCTTATACCCACCTTGCCAGGGCTGAGATCTGGCTGCACCAGCAGCCACCCAGCAAGTAAAGCCACCCCTGAGCCACCCCCATGAATTCTGCACAGAGTCCCCAGGTCTGCCAGGTAACAGGGATTTGGGACCAGTCCTTTTCCCTCACCTTGGACCACCACATCGGGCTTGGGGACAGTGGCAAAACGGCGGTTGAGGGGATCTATTTCCCCAGGAGCTAGAAAACCCTGAGGAAAAAGAGGTACAAGGAGATGAACATTTCATGGGCCAGGTACAACAGGGTGGTGACTACAAGCAATTCACCTTTAACAAGTCCCAGGGAATGGGGGTGACAACTTCCTCAGGGTGCCAGCACTTGCCCTTTTCAAAGCTCGGAGACACCCCAAAATGCTCCCCATCACCAGGGGTGACCATACCTCAGCCATCAGGCAGCCCAGGATGTAGAGGGACTGTCCCCACATGAGTGGCAGCTTGCCCATGGGTATCCTGTCCACAGTGTGGGGGTTCCTGTACTCCTCATCCACCTGGAAGACAAGCGAGGAGGTCAGGAAGGGACCCCACAGACACAGGATGCTGAAGGAAACATCATCATTGCATTCTGAAGTCCAGCTCTTTAAGGCTTAAAACAAAAGCCTACAAAAGCATTTGCCACAGAGGGTCCAAAGCATCCTGGCTACATTCCTCCCCCTCTTCTCATCATTGCATCAGACAACAGATCAGCTGCTCAGACCACATTTGGGTTCCCAACATGGGCCATCCCACAGGGACAAGTGACATGACCCATGTCCACCACGGCAATGCTCTCAGGTGCTGGCAGGGACAGCATCACTCCTGTGGTGGGCACAAGAAGGTTGTTGCTCTCAGCCAGGCCCAGACAAACACCCTCAGCATTGAACAGGAGCTCAGCACAACCTCCTCAGCCCAGGTCCACGTGTCCTGAGCTCTCAGAGGATTCTGACTCCAGGCCAGCAGACTGTCAGCAAAGCACCCTTGTGTATGGGGGCAAGAAATGCTTTTTTAGGGGAAAAAAAGCAGCAGTTTATTTATCCAACATGGTTTCAGAACAGCTCCAAGCCATACTTTTTTTTTTCCCCCCCATGGGGTTTCCATGCACTGCATGTGCTGCTTTCATAATGATTTGGGTTAATAAGCAGTTAAAATCTAATTACGTTGTAATAAGACATTCCCACTCCCACCATAGCTCAGTACCACTCACCTTATCTGGAGGTACACTGTACAGCTCTGGCACCAGGCGCACCCCGTTCTTCCCCTTGATGAGAATTCCCTCAAGGGCTTCCCTGTACTCCTGCACCTGAGAGAGGAGAGGGGATCTGTCCCCAGCCATGGCTCTCTGCATCCTTTCCACCAGCCCAGCAGGTTCTGCCTCCCTTACCTGCTCCATGTTTCCACTGAAAATCCCATCAATGATCAAGTATGCCCAGAAGAGAGGCCACTCACACTCGATGTTCTCAAACAGCTTCAGCTCAGCAGGTTCATAGTAGGAGCGGCTGGGGTCCTGCAGGGAGGGTGTGACAGCAAGGCATGCACTGGGTGGCAGGATCCCCTCAAACTGACAGGACTCCCACTCTCCCCAGGATCCCAGCCTCAAATACCCCCCTCTGCAGAGGACAGCTGAGAGAGAGCCAAAAAGCAGCTTCACCTCCAAGCTGTGTCCTTTCCATCTGACATCCCCTCCCAAGTCCCCTGCACTGATGCCAAAGGGACTCACCCTTCCTGGGCAAAACCCAGTCACCAGGAGAGCACCCCAGAGCCTTGTACAACAGCACAATATCCCCCTCACTGCCCTGGGGACACTGGTGTCCCCTTTGCCTTGTCACATAGCACCTGCCTCCTCCAGCATCACCAGGCCAGCCCAGCTGGGTGTGAGGGCTTGGGCTCCTCACGCAGGACCAGACAGCAGGGTCCCCCTGCCATTTGGTGTGACTACAAGCCTAGAAGTAACCCAGGGCTTTCTGTGCTGGCAAGGCTCTGAGCACTGGGAAAGCTGGATTGGAGATGCTGCTGCTCTTCTCTGGCTCTGGAGAGACACAGCCACACATGCTGCCTATTATGGTCAGGTCTGAAGAGACACAGCAGAGGAGAAGCATTTAGAGGCACCCAGGCCCCAAAGGAGCCCCTGCAGGTTACAGGCTCAACAGCTGGTGATGATTTAAGAGCCTCCAGGTACCATTTCCTGGTTCTGTGGTTATCAAATGAAACTGTGGCTTACAAAATTTTCCCATTTTCCCTCCCCAAAGCAGCAGAAGTCTCTGCTCGCTCCACCGAGAGCCAAGTGTGGCAGCACACAAGCTGCCTGCTGTTCTAGGAGAGGCAGAAGCAGCTTTGTGACCTCCAGTGCTGCTGCAGAGCCAAGGCTGCCAGGGAGAAGCACTGCACAGTCACCTCCACAGGCTTCCAGCCCTTAACTCAGGGCTTGGGCAGCCCTGGGAGAGCCAAAGAAAAGATCCCACCTTGGCAGGGCTCCCACACTGGGCAGTGCTCCCATCTTCCCCCAGTCTAAGAGATACAAAACACCACCAGGTCCCAAGGCTGCAGGCAGAGTCAGCCTCTGTCCATCTGCAATGGGCGTGGGTGGGATGAACCACCTCTGCAATGGGCTCTGGCATTTTGGGAAGCCTTGGTCAGACCCAGGACCCTGCCTGGGGCTACTCAGGGCTCTCTCCTTCCCAGTGCTCCCCATCATCATCATCAGTGCAACCCAGGGCAGGTGCTGCTTGGCACTGAAGTTCTGGGCAGCAGGGTTTGGGACACTGACCTCTTTGGGGGTCCTGTATCCATCCCGGAGGAAGCGGCAGCAGCCGTAGCGCCCCTGGAAGGGAGGGAAAGCGGCACTGAGCAGGAGGCACAGCAGGAGGTGCCTTGTACCTTCAGTGCAGCAGTACTGGGGGCATCTCCTCCAGCCAAACAGCCCCTCACTTGCTCATCTAGTAGCCAGGCAACACGATCACAGACCGTGGCCACAGAAAACAGGACTGTTTCTTTGCACACCCCTGTCACAAGTCATGGAGACAGGGAGAGGACATGCCCCAGCACCCCCTCCCTGAGCACTTTTTTGGGCAGAAAAGGGGTTATAATAGTTTTGACTGTGGCTGTCTCCCAGGAAATGCAAGGCAAGCCAAGCCAAGGGCAGAGCCACTCACCTGCAGCTTCGTGATGATCTCTTGCTTGGTGATTTCCACCAGCTCACTGTCCTCCACAGCAAACGCTGGGTAGGAGATGACAGAGAGCACGCTGGCGTCCACCTCCTTGGACGTGGAGGCCCTGGGCAGCATCGAGTGGAGGATGGACTGGGCGAAGGGGAAGGAGGAGTGGTTTACAGCCAGGCCAGGCATCACTCACATCACAACCCCAGCAGATCACAGTTCATCCTGCAATGGTGTAAAGCCCATGCAGGTCTCACCTGGCAGTGCTGCACCTCATCTGATAACACCCGTATCACCGACTGCGGGCCTCCCTTTGCTCCAAAGAGATCCAGCTCATCCAGTGCCTCCAGGGCAGCCTGCAAGCAGGGCAAGACCCAAAGCAGCAAGTCCTCCCCTACACTGCTCATCTGTAAGAGCTCCCACCCCACGCCAGCCCCTCTCTGTAACGCACTTGCCCAAACATAAACCCTGCTGTGGCTTGCAGAGCACCCCCAGGTCAGAACGTGACCACATCTAAAAGCCACAGGCAGACAGACATCAAACAGGGCCCTGGCAGAAACTCTACACACCTCAATTAATTTCTCACTCCCAGTCCAGGCAAAACTTAGGCAAGAGGGGCACAGTTGTACCCCAGCACACAAGGAGAAAGGTTTCCCTCCCCAGGAACCTATCACTGCATGGGGCATTGAGCCTCAATAGTTCAACATGCCCAACCTTCCCCGTAAAAAAGCATCACGAGGCCACCAGAGCCCCCAGCACCTCTCCCTGGCTCACCTTGGCCATGCCAACAGAGCTGGCATTCAATTCGGTGATGCCCTGGTTCGTCTTGTCCCCACGCTCCCATATCCCAAAGTCCTGTGCAGAGACAGTGGCATGTTAGAGCAGGAATCAGTTCACAGCACACCCAGAAAGCCTTCAAATCCCACCCATCGGTGCTGCTCCCAGGAGGCACCGTGGGACTCTGCCCACTGGGGCTCAGGAGAGACCCACGGCTGCCCCTGGACACCACTCTTGGAGCACTCTCACACCTTCCCCAGCAAGGGCTACCCACCGCAGTTTTGTAGGCTGCTTCAATGTAGAACACGAGGTTCTGGATAAAGTTGACTTCATCCAGGCTGTGGATTATGTGGAGGCCTGAAGAAGGGGGAGGAATTCACATTAGTCGCTCTGAGCCCACACAGGCATCCCTAGGAAAGGGCTGCACTAACCCAGGCCAGACCCTCCTCCTCCTCGCTGCACACCTGCCCCATGGGGGCCACGTCCACATCCCCAGTCCCACCCTCCATGGCAGCTCTGGGGCTTCAGGCAAACTGGGGGGGAGTCTTAGAAAGACAGACATCGAGAGGCCCAAATCCACCTCGGGTATTGTGAGTGTAAGAAAACAGTGAGACTGGGGAGCCACTGCAGCATCCTGGCACCCAGGAAGCAGCACCCAACCTAAGAAGGTGGAGAGCCCTGGAGATCAGCACGCTCAGAGCTGATAACGGCATTTCCCCCCCAACAGCCTCACCTGAGGCCGTCATTTGTGCCAGCATGAGCAGGTAGAGGGAGGTGGCATCCATCTGGAGGTGACCCCACTCGTGGTCCCCCACCACAGTGGCACAGGTGTGGGTGTTGTACTTGGCATGTAGGCAGTCCCTGGTGCTCTGGCTGTACTTGAATGCCTCTACCTTGTCCACCTTGAGGACGGCAAGAAGATGTAGAGGTTCATCAAACCTGGTCTCCAGAGAGGTCTGGCAGCCCCAGTGCCAAGGGCTGTCCTGTGCTGTCAGCCCAGCACGAAGGGCAGAAATCCTACAGCCCCTGGGCTAAGCCCCTCCACACACCAAGGCAGGGAGTGCAGGCTCACACAGGGCTGCAGCTCTGGAGGGCTCACAGCCACAGTTAGTTCTCCACAGTGTGGAGAAAAAAGTGTCACCCCAAACGCCCTCGAGAAGAAGAGCTGCAGAATCCCAGCACCAGCCAGGCCACAAGACAGGGAGCAGCTGGCAAAAGCTCTGCTGGGACTTCCATCACACTAGGGACAGATGCCAAGTTAGAGCTTTTATTTCAAGACTTGCTGGAAGGGGGCCCCGCTTTCCGCTCATCAGGGGCGGCTGGAAAGAGCTGGCACAGCTGGGACGTGGAGGAGGAGACCACTCGACTGTCA